CTAGTGAAATAGCTTGTCTCAACTGCTAGGGTTAGACCCCAAGGACAACTAGTCAGTGTTTATAATACTGCACTAAGTATGCCCTAAACCTTGGAGATAGATTGGCAAAACTAGAAAATTGCACTTAACCCCAACTTAGTTATAATACTGCACTAGGTATTAGACTGTACTACTTTTGATGTACAAACTAGTGAGATCCATCAAGGGTCAAATACCTAAGCATGTTGAAACAGTTTGGGACATTATTTGTGATTGTAGTGATATGATTAACCCCTTTGTCAAGCAAAGTGAATATCAAGCTTTACACTTTCTCTAGTAGAAACCTAAATTGCCAATAATGGATTTCAATCGTATTTGAATTCTAATTTGTAAAAGATAATTATATGTTATATTATTATTTTATGAAAAAAGGTTTGCAAAAGTTTCTAATCTTGAAATCCATTCGAGCATAGAGTGTGACACTGCATTTTGTAGTCATGGAAGAGGTCATTCTGTGAGTAATATTCTGATGATTATGAGCCGAGATGTTAGGTGTAAGAAACCATTACAGGGCTAATTACTTAATAGTTTTATCTTATATAAGTCCATTATCCTTGGGTCTCCATAGGGTGGATGAATCTAAAGATCATTTAGGTGTAAATGTTGGGCCCAAACTAAGCCTAAGTTGATTGGGTTAGGGATTAATTGCCTTGAGTAGTGAGTTTGGCCTAACCTCTTACAAAGGAAGGGCCAAACCCTTATGGACTTATGTGAGACCTTTGTGGGTCCCACACCATACAACATTTAGGCTCAAAGTATCCATACAACACCTTGGGACATGAATCATTAGAGAAAATGTGCCTAAGACCCATTACTAATATGATTAGTTAAGTAATCACATAACAATTGACTTGGGTTGAAAATGTGTATGGAACACCCATTATCTTAAGAACATAACGCTTATTAATTAAAGATAAACTCCTTATCCAAATTTGATTTGGATCAGTTTCTAATTGGATTAGGAGAGTGCTCTATATAAAAAAGAATTAAAAAACACGAATCGCCTCAAGAATATTTTTGGATTTTTTTAAGGACAAAATTTACCCCTATATATTTAAATTTATTGATAAAAAAATAAGGGCAAATAGGGTAATTGGTTCTTGATATTAAATGAGTTGAAAAGATGTAATTTAAAGATATTTAATTCATTCAATTCTCTCTCATTAAATCCAACATTTAAGTTATTAACTTGCATTCATGTTCATTTAATCATATATTTAAATCATTTTTGTTTCATCATTAAGTTCTGTTAATTAAATCTATAATTAATAATTTTAATAACATAAAAGCTTATACTTTTAAAATCTACCTAGCAAAAAATAGTATTTTCATCTAAGTGGTGGTAAGAAATTAACTCATTTTGGGTCAAATGGGTTAATCCATATTGTCATGACTAAATAATAAAATTAAAAAATAGATAAAAAATAAATAAAATTAAAAAAGTTGAGAACATTTTTAACATATATATTAAACAATAATAAGTATGATAAATAAAAAATCTTTTTATTAATGATGGAAATGGAATGTAAAATTTAAAACCAATTGGAAATAAAAGTATTTTTCCTATTCCCTCTCATTAAATTCTATATTTAAGATAATTTTTTCTCATCATTAAATTCTTGTAATTAAATCCATAATATTAATTTTAATAGTATAAAAATAAATATTTTGAAAAGAAATTTAAAAACAAAACCATTTTCTTCCCTCCTAGTGGTGGACAAGAAATTCAACCATTTGTGGTCAAATGGATTAATAAATAATACCATAATTAAATAATAAAAAATCAAAATAATATAACTATGCAATGTAAGAAGTATTTTTATTAATTATAAAAATGGAATGTCAAATTCAAAATCTACCTAGAAATTAAAAGTTATCATAGTCAAATAATAAAATTTTTAATAATAGAAAATACAAAGAAACACAAAAATAAAAAATTTTGGGCATATATCTAATGTTATATTTATAAAAAATAAAATATTGGGTACATCTCTAATATTGTGCATTTATTATATTAAACAAAAATAAGTGTTATACATAAGAAATAATTTTATCAATGAAGGAAATGTAATACAAAATTTAATGTCAACTTAGAAATCAAACAATTTTTATTTTTAGATAGTGGGTTAGTGGTTTGAGTCAAATGATACTATAGAGAAACAAAAATTAAGTGTGAAATGTAAAAAACTCTCTCTCTCTCTCTCTCTCTCTCTCTCTCTCTATATATATATATATATTAAAACAAAACGGTCAAGAAATTTTCTCATTTTTTGTTTTTTATTCTATGTCATTTTTTAAACAACCAATGAAATGCACTTTCCCAATAACCTAAATAATCTATTCTCCTAAAATTTATCCTAAACTACCTCCTCCACTTTCTTATAATTATCTCTAATTCTTATTTATCTTCTAAATTATCTCTAATTCCTATTTATCTCCACAATTCTCTCTAATTTAGTAGAGAGTTTCTCTTCTAAATTATCTCTAATACCTATTTATCCTCTCCCTACTTTTTATCTATATCTATCTAAGGTAAGTTTGGATTAAAAAAATTAAGAATTATTTAAATATTCTAACAAAATTATATAATAACTTTAAAATATTTATTAAAAACACAAAAAAAATTATATTTTTACAAAATATATCATGAAATTATGTACTAACAATTTAAATTATGTTTTTTCAGATTATCAATTTAAATGCTTTTCAAATATTTAATAATATGTAATAGCTTTAAATAAATATAATTCAAATAACAAAAAATTTTAAATATTTTATAGATCATTTAAATATTTATCACAACTATAATTTAAATAGTTAAAATAACAAAATTATCTAATAAATAATTTTATATTTTTACAAAATATATAACAAAATTATGTACTAAAAATTTAAATTATGTTTTTCCGGAACACCAATTTAAATGTTTTTCAAATATTTAATAATAGGTAATAACTTTGAATAAATAAAATTCAAATAACAAAAAATTAAATATTTTATAGATAATTTAAATGTTTAAATAACTAGATTAATATTGAAATCAATAATAATTTAATATATTAAAAAATTAATAATGGAATTATGTAATAATAGTATAAATTATGATTTTATGGATAATTAAATTCCATAAATAACTAATATTTTAAAATTTAAATATTTTACATATTATTTAAGTATTTAAATAACTAGGAATTTTAAATAAAAAAAATTTAACATAACTAGATTTTAAATAGTTAAAATAAATAAATTATGTAATAAATTTAAAAAATTTCTGAAAATTAGAAAAATAATTATAACATAATATTGAGATTAATAATTTAATATTTTCACATAATATTGTAAATAACTAATTTCACTTATATCAAGTAATAATTCGAGAAAATAACTTTCAAAAACATTAATATTTATTAATAATAATTTTAAACTCTTAATCTTTATTTATTATATAATTATATATGCTAAAATTAATATTTATTGTATTTCAGTAATTATTTATTATTTTTGTGATAAATGTTTTTTCAATGATTATGCATAAATTTATTTTGTTTTGTTATTTAATAGAAAACTTTCAATAATTATTAAAAACTAAACTATTATTTGTGAAATTTTTAAATTTAATTTATTGTACTTATTGTATTTTTTTATTATAACTTGTTGATTAATATTTTTTAGAGATTAAACTATTATTTGAGATTAAACTTTTTATTGACTAAGTTAATATATTTTTAGTACTTATTGTATTTTTTCATTGCCAATATATATTCAATAATTGTGTATTTTTGCTATAAAACTTCAATATTTATTGGAGATTAAACTGTTGTTATTTATCAGAGATGAGACTATTAATTTAGCTGAAATTATGAGTATTCATGAGTTGGTTCAATCTGGTCGTAGACTATTTGGCCAATCAAATTGACTTGGTCAGGTTAGGGAGTTGGTTAGCTGAAACCGACTGACCTTTTGTGAAAACCGACCCACTCAAGTTATATCGGTTTTGGTTGATTTTTTGGTTTGATCAGTCGGTTCAAAAGATTTAATTAAAAATTATAGTGTAATTATTAAAAAATTAGATTTATGATATAAAACATTTTTTACTAAGAAATATGAGAAATTTCTCACTTTTTCATATTAAAAACTATATTTAAAAGAAAAAATATTAATGTATATCCATAGTTAGGTCATTCTATTTTGGTTGATTTACAAATGGCCAAAGTGAAATTGATCTAACTTGGTTGAATTGGGAAAATTTTGAACCAAAGTCGACCAAAAATACTAGAAAATCGACCAACTCGGGTCGAGTTGATAGGGTTGATCGATTTCATCAGTTTGATGAATAAATCTAACTAAAATTAATTATTGTTATTTTTTTATTATGAAAAATTTATTAATCCTACCTTATAGTTTTCACACATGAAAATCGAAACCGAACTGACTTAGATATATATTATATATATATATATACATATTATATTTATTTCAGAAATATACATATTATATATAAAATTTCAGTTTTAATCCATCAAATCATTTTTAATTTCCAGGCATCCAGCCTTTGTTTTCTTAGACTTGAATCCTTTACCATTTACACCGAGAGAATCATTTACAAAACCAACCCAAACCAATTCAAACTAACCAGGCCGGTTTTGGTTTCATTTCTAGGTAAACCAACTAGTCGGTTGGAAAAACGCCAATAAACCGACCTAACCCGACCCGTAAACAGCCCTACCATTGACCAACTTTCCCATACATATTTACCTGCAAAGGAACGAGGCCTAAAAATTAATAGGTATATATGCACAGAAAATATTTTCTATCGGATCGGGTTCGGATATATCCCGATTCAAATCCGATCTGATCCGTTTTCATCCTACTCGTGGTCGTGGACGATTGGACGGTGGACCTGTATGTTTTTTTTTTTTTTTTTTTTTAACTCGATCAAACGAACCCTAATTCTAAACCTTCACAGCTTTTCACTGATATATTCTCTTTTTAATCAGTAATTTCTCACTCTCTTCGTTGATCTTCAAGAAAGCACAACTGGTACCTGAGAAACGGAACTGCTCGACTCTCGCCGGCCGCAGATCTGACGAATGAAAGAGGGCTGAGATTATCCGAGCAAAGGAGACCCTCTTCGTAGTTCGAAGCTTTCATCTCAGGTACGCCAAACGCCTTCTTATTCTTCGCACAAGTTATTTGGCAAATAAATAAACAAATGAAAGGAAAGAAAAAAAAGGTCACTTTAGTCTACTTGTTGAACACATGGACCGGTGGCTGAGACATGTCTTTTTCTATTTATGAATGTCCATTGATTCTGATAGTTCCTTGTTTGCAGTTTCAGGGTTTGAAAGGCTGATGCTATAATGGGATTGTCCGGGTTGAGGTAAAAAGCTTCTGGGTAGAAAATCACCCTTGTAGTTTGATTATTCCAATACTTGCTATATATGCTTGCAATATGTTTTTAAAACTATGCTATAGTTAGACAGGATCATTAATAATTGAAATGTGTCAATTTGGATTTTGATGTTCGGAATCATTCATGTACTATAACTTAAACGAGAGAGGTTTCAAGACCCTCAATACAAGCCTCTGAATTCTTTGTAAAATGAACTCTTCCCCAGAGATAGAATACCAACCTAGATTGTACTCATGCAGACACACTATATATTTATGGTACTGGGAATATAAGATTAAATGGAGAAGTATGTAGGTTTATATATTCATCATTAAGAAATCAGAATATAGTATTATTCCTATGATCTTTCCTCTTTTTTGTTTATGAATTGTAAACATGCCTTCTTGGATTCATTAGTTCATAATAATTTTTTTGATGTGTAGTTAATAATTATTTGTTTCAGGTCTACTTCTTCAGAGGGGGAATCTTCCAGAAAAAATAGCAAATTCGAAAAGAAGCTTCGGTTTTATGCTAGTAAGTAGCCAAAATGTCTGTGAACTGTTTGTACTTTGTACCATTGACATTTTAGTGGAATGAAACCATAGAAAAGAAAATCTCTCTAAATTAACATCATGTAAACATTGAACCTATAATTTGTGAGACATTGAAATGTGGTACTACGGTACTACCATAGTTGGTTGACCCTGAAAACTAAGAAAAAGGGAATAACAAAGTAATCTTTTCCTTTTTGGTGTGTTTCAAGCTTCTAACATGTTCGTCTAAGTAATTTTTTAGTTCGCTTTTCTTTGAATTTTTAATTTCACATAAAAATATTTGTTTTAGTTACTGAACTGTCTGACTATTTTGAAGAGGAAGATTGAGGGTTGAAGTTTTGAGATCCTATAGGAGTCAGGGGGTAGGAGGTTAGAATGAAGTTGCTAAGCTGGACTGTAAGAGGTTTGTGGGAAGGAAGAAGAAGGGCATTGGTAAGAAATTTGATCAGAAAACACAAAACTGGAGGTGGTTTTACTGCAGGAAGAAAAAATAGAAATAACAGTGATTTAAAAGGTGCACCTAGGTTCTCAGGCGAGGCATATTTTAAGGTATGCGCTTCACCTAGGCATTAAGCACAGCATTTTCAAAAGGTGTGCCCTTGGTGTGCCTTGCGCTTCAGCCCAAGTGTGCACGTTTTTATTTTTTGTGGTTTTTGTTCTTTTTTTGAACCTAAATGGCTGGGTTGGGGGCTAAGCTCCTTGAGGTAAGCCCAAACAAGTTGATGTTAGGTTCTTAAATTCTTGATCCTTGTACAAAAAAAAAAGATTTTATATTTTAATTACCTTTTAAGAAGATATTTTATTAGCATGAATGAACAACATTAGCAAATAGGGGGGCTCGTGGAATTAGGATAAAAAACAATATCTTCTTAGAAGGCAATTAAAATTATAAAACCATTTTTTTGTACAAGGATAAAAATTTAAGACCCTAACATGGACTTGTTTGGGCTTACCTCAAGGGGCCTGGTACAAAGGTGACTCATAGAATCAGGAATGCAAGATGTTTTACATCACATTAGCTTTTAAAGTAATGCAATTGAGGATAAAATGCTTTACATGTTATTTTTATGTATTTTGATTTCAGATAATAGGTTTTTTAAAACATTTATTTTAAAACATAAGTCTATATTTTTTATTAATATTATGTTTAATGTTTTTACATTATTTGAATTTTTTTGGCTTTTTTTTTGTGTTTTTGCACCTTGCTTCAAAAATGTGCGTGCCTCATCTTGCACCTTTGTGCCTCAGGCACAAATTGCTCCCTGCGCTTTTAAAACAAAGATGTTGTTTCTGGGATTGTAGGGGTCTTTAGAAATAAAGATGGGCAAATTGTTGCTTTTCTCAGGTCCAGCAGGTTTGGGAGATTCAATCAGAGTTGAACTTTTGGCAGTAATACAAGGCCTACAGTTAGCAATAGAGTTGAATTTTATCAGGCTAATTGTGGAAGGAGACTCCAAAATAGTAGTGGGATGGCTACAAAATCCGGAGACTTTTATTTGTGAATTTAGGGATAAGTTTAAAAAGATCAAATGGCTTATCAGCAATTTAACAGTGACGTTTCAATGGAAGAGGAGATTGGCCAATGGAATGGCTGATTCTCTAGCCATGCGTGGGTTAGTAGGGATCACTTATTCTGGGCTCAAATGTAACTTGTACCTTTCTCTTATTTGTATTTTCTATGTTTTTGGATGAGATGAATCTCTCACCTCTCCCTGGGAAGTTTGTACTGATAATTTTCTGATATTAATAAAATTACTTATAAAAAAAAAGAAAAAGATTTCTTACCCATGATAGACTTGAGGAACTATTTCATTTATATTGAACTCATAGTCTTATATTAATCTATTGGTGGCTACATGCATCTAAGTTTTCTTTTACATATACTGCAGAGGTTAAAGATACTATTACTTCCTTACATGCAAAAAAGACAATTAGCAAGGTGAGATACTTAAATTTAAGATATGATCTCTTTAGTTCATTTTTTTTTGTTGTTCTTATTATTATTGTTGTTGTTGTTGTTATTTTGGCTTATGAGTTACCTGTTTAAGACCAAGTATTTCCTGTAAGAGGTCATTGAGGATGGTTGTGTTTGCACCTATGTTTGGAGATTACCGTTTTCATCCATGTGTCTGTACTCTCAGATACTACAAGAGCTAGGTGTGTTGAGGCTCAAATTGATATTGGGTTAATCACAGAATTATGAATTAAACTAAAATCAAAATTGCTGACTGTCATTAGCGTGCTCTCTGTGTCCATTTTTTTTCTTCCTGTGGCAAGAACGTCTCAAATTATTATTCTCTCCTTGTAGAAACTCAGCCAGTTATTACCTATCAAAAAAAAAAAAACTTCAGTCAGTTAATTTTGATCCCTGTCCATTCCAAATCTGTCTGATTTATTGAGATCCCTCTCTACAGCTTTTGGCTTTCACTGTTTAAATCATATCTGGGATTAAACTATAAAAAGTCATATTTGGATCACAAACAGGTCACTGTCAGCAGTTGAAGTCCAAATACTGATAATATGAAAATGAGAGGAAATATACAGTTTGCAGATGTTTTCTTCTTCAATTACTCTTGATTGAAATATTAATCTCCCTTGTAATCTTAGAAGTTCATTGGGTAACTCAGGGCCTTGGATATAGAAATGTTTTTAGGGAGGGAGAGTTGTAGGTTCACTCAAGATCTGTAAGAGGAGACTCTTTGTGAGGTTATCTCCTTAGTGCTTGGCTTGAAACTGGGGTTTTATGGTGGAAGGAAGCTATGGGTTGTAGTAGGTTCAGTGTTATGTCCCCCACTGGAACGCTCACTGCATCACCTCATTAGAGAAGTGAGATAATTGGCTTCTTTAATGGCTTGTTCAGGTTGATCCCACGATCAGAAAATGCTATGGCTGGTGGCTTAGCTAAAGTGGGGCTGGGGAGGATAGAGATGCATTGGGGGATTTAAGCCCAGGTTAAAGTGTAATAGGCCTCACTTTCTTGTTGTGGAAGTGTAGTCTGTGTTATATGCCATTGTCCTCTCATTTGAGACTTCCAAAGGAAGGAGGTATACTATTTTCTCTTTTGTTTTTTTCCCCAAGGTAAAGGGTTTTCTAATTGTGTCAAGAAGGGAACCTTCGTAGACAACCCAATTTTTTTTTGAAGGATCATGAGAAGAAAAAATTATAGATAGAAAAGGAAAAAAGTACTGCAATTTTTTTATTTTCTTTGAATTTGAGGGAGATGTTTTTCGGGGGCTTTTAATTAAGTTGTAGGGAGAACCAGAGGAGTCATCTTAATAAGAGAATACCAGTTTTACAAACCTCAAACAAGAACCAATAAGCCATTCACCATTGTGTGCTTTAAAATGATCTAGCATATCATGTTTGTTTATTTGTAATGTTAATCTAAGCTGTCCTTTCTCATAATGAGCTTCTAGTGATGTATGCTATTGGTTCATTTCTTCTAAATCCTTAATTCTAATCTTATATATCAGAAGAAAAGACTAAGAAGCCGTCAGAAGAAACTGAAAGCATATGATCTCTCCTCCCTCACCGAATTCCTTCCTGAGTTGAAGGAACCTCGTCATCCAGCTCCAGAAACTAACTTCAAGCTGAATAGCAAGTCCAGACAGAAGCTAGTGTAAGTATTTCAATTATTTAAAGTTGAACTTTTGACTAGTTTTCTTGTTCCTTCTGTATTCCTTTGGCCTGAAACAGTTTGAGTTATGTGGGAGTTTGTTTCAACAGTAAGAAGGAAGGGGAACAATTGAGGAAAGTCCTTAATCATCCTGCATTTCAGATGGATCCGCTGTCAGCAATTCATCAACATCTGCAGAACACACAACCTGTTCCAATTGAGAATCCAGTAAAAAACTCAAAGAAAAGTACAAGGAAGACAAAGAGGAAACGGTCAAAGGCTTCATCTGGGGCCAAATCTATGGATATCTGATGCAATGATGGATCTTAGGAAACTTGTATTAGTGTCTACTCGCTACGAAGGCAGCTAAAATGTTAATATAGAAAGAAAGCCAAGTTTTTAGTTTCAATGCTGAAATCGGGAAGCGTTTCTTTCTTACTCTTGATAGTTTTTCCCCTTGGTTGTGTTCTGTTTCTGTGTGCCCAGTTTGAAAAGTGCAGTTAAATACGCTACCAGAGCCAGAGGCCAAGGGCACATCCGCACATGGACTTCTAATACACTATTCTCCTTACTTTTTTTTGGGTAATATAAACTCAACTGAAATACATTCAAACGTGATATGCCATGTAAGATTGTAAGAGGTTAGGCCAATTTTTTTGGTAACAAAAAGTCTCCATACCTGAAACATTTTAATCAATCAAGATCTCAGGTGAGTTTAGAAGAAAATATCCTCCCCTTGGTTGTGATAAAGGCGTAATGGAATACCTCAGACTGAATGGAAGTGCAGGATGAGTGCAATATAAAGATACAGGACTTGGACATCATCTCTTTCTCAATCAACATTTACGTATATATACATTAGGATAAACATGTCAACATCAACAAAAAGGGAATTTGACGCTGCCAAGTGCCAACTGAACTGACTGGCTCCGTTGCTAAGGTCTCTGCCTGGTCGCAGATTAGGATCAAACCCAGACGTGTCACTAGGGTTGGGGGATGGGCTACCCCTATTTTGCAGCCCCATGAAGAAAAATAAAGGGGGTGTGGGGGTATTACAATTGCTTTAATCTCCATGAATTTCAATCTCTCCAAAAACCTCCCACATTTTGGATAAATTATAAAAATTGACCCTTTAGTTTGAACGGATCGGTGTAAGTCTTAATTTACAAAGTTACCCTTATATCTCCATTTAGATAATGATAACTATAATATCGATATCCATTAAAAAACAAATATAATTAGAGATTTGGTAAGAGGGAGAGCAGCGAAAGGTTTTGTTCGAATAGATTTTCTCTTTATTGTTTTTTTTTTTTTTGTGTTCGATTGATATATTTGTGCTTTCTCTATCAATGGATTTTTCAGTATTTTATCCTTGGAAAAAAAACAGATTTTCTTTATGTTTAATTGCATGAAATCATATTTTTCTGTTGACATCTCAATGTCAAACCAATGGAAGGGGCCATTTTTGTAAAATATAGGGGGAGGATTTTGAGGGTGGTTAAAGCAGTTGTTAGAAATCGTAGGTGATGTTTAAGTAATTTCGCCAGGGGTGGGGTGGCGGGGTTCCTTTAGGGTCCAATCAATTCAAACTGGATTTGGACGGTCCACTATAATTATTGGATTAGGCTAATCCAAAATAAATTGGTCTATTTTCTTATTGGTCTGGATTGGACCTAAACCAAATTCCTAATAATTTGATCATGAGATTAAACCCTTGTTCAATTTGAAACCGATTAAGACTGAAGCTGGTATAAAAATACTTTTATGAAAGTACTTCTATAAAAGTAATTTTATGAAAAGTACTTTTATGAAAGCATTTTTATAAAAATACTTTTATGAAAGCACTTTTGTAAAAGTACTTTTAGAAGAAAGCACTTTACAAGGTACTTTTATAAAAGTAATTTTATGAAAGCACTTTTATTAAAATACTTTTACACGAAAGCACTTTTACAAAAATACTTTTACACGAAAGCACTTTTACAAAAATACTTTTACACGAAAGCACTTTTACAAAAATACTTTTACACGAAAGCACTTTTATAAAAACACTTTTATAAAAGTACTTTTATGAAAGCACTTTTACGAAAACACTTTAATAGAAGCACATTTACAAAAGCACTGTCATAAAAAATACGAAAGTGAAATTACTTTTATGAAATCACTTTTATAAAGCACTTTTACGAAAGTGAAAACAGATGCTCCAATTTGCATTTTATTTGGACTGGATTGGACTTAGTTTGTATGGATTTGGACTGGATTTGGTCCAGTCCATTTATAAATGAAGCAATATTGGATTGGACCAAATCTAGTCCAATTGACAGCCCTATTCGTTATCTCAGCCCTTGCACTAGAATTTGAGATATTGGACCAAATCTAGTCCAATTGACAGCCCTATTCGCTATCTCAACCCTCGCACTAGAATTTGAGAAAGACCCTTTGAAATTAAGGTTTAATCCATCATAACTGCTTCCCCAACATGATGGTTGTAAAGCTGAATTCTTCTTCCTCAGCAATCAAAGTGAAGCAGATGCTTTTCTGAAATACCTCAATCTCGTTGCTTTTCTTTAGCTTCATCACTTTCTCCTTGCTTTTCTTTATGAGATCACTTATATATATATATATATATATATATAAATATGTACAGTACAAATATATGCAAAATAATACAAAATACAAGATTTTTTACTCTTTCCAATAAAAGTACACATATACGTTACAAAATTTTACATATTGTATTTCTAAACCTTGCATTCTCACTGCATACATTTGTATTTGTACTCTTTATAAAGCTTAAGAAGGCTGTGACCTGTGAGGAATTTACCATGGAAAAAGAATAACAGACCTGGCCCTCATTCCTACGGACTCGTGGTTATATGCATCAGCAAACTAGAGCCTAAAAGTAATCTGAGTAATGACTATGCCAATCAACACAGAAGGTCTCTTGGGGGAATAAGGTTAATTTGATGAAGTCAATTGGCATAAAGGGATGGAGTATCCTCTAAGAATTGGGTGGAATTGGATTTTTAGGTAGGGTTATGGAGAAAATGGATTTGGACCCGCTTAGAGAAATTGAGCTAGGCAATGCATTTCTACCACTTCCTTTTTGGGTTCTCATTAATGGTTCTCCAAATAGAGTTATCCATCGATTCCATGGATTTAGGGAAGTGACCCTCTCTTCAGCTTAAAATATTAAGAAATTTTCTAGTATAAAGATTAATAGGAGATTTTAAGTCATTTGCCATCTTTTATTTCCTGATGATAGCTAATCTTCTTAAAGTGAAACCTTAAAAGCGGTGAGAAATTTTAAGAAAATTCTCAAAAATCATGAAAAGGCATCTGGTGAAAGCTGCAAATGGAATCCCATTCTGATTCCGAATTCGAATCCGACCCATTTATAATTGGATCAAATATCGATCAACCCCTATCCGATTCAATTCAATATATATATATATATGTTCATATATACTTAAAAATTATATTATATCTATCATTGAAGTTTGTCTTAATGTTGTATTTTTCACTAAATTGTCATATGTTCATATTTTACACAAGTAATTTTCAATTCATTTTGTTCATAAAATATATTATTAAAGTCATTTTTAATTTATCTTATTAATAATATATAATATTTTAGTTATTTTTAGTCTAATACTATTTAATATCTGATGATGCACGATCTGAAAGCTCCTACCTGGAAGGATGTCTGGACGTTGTTCGCATAGCAAGCTGGACCAAGCTACAAAACAGAGATCAGAGAGACCGGGGTAGATGACCCGGGGAGGTCGCTCCGATGCTTAAGTTAGTGTCTTTGTTGTGGTTGCGAGCTAAAAGCTTGAATGTTAGAGAGCTTGTATGTAAATAATCGCGCGTACCTGGGCCCTGGAGGGGTTGATGTCCTTATATTGTTGAGCTGTCGTGGGTCTCACGAAATGATTCTAAATCTTCGGCCTGAGTAGATGAGATCCATTTCCACTTTAGACAGGAAGTAACGTACTAGTCAATGAAGTCTATCGTTACCGCCCGATCCGGTCAAGGAGAGGATAAGACCTACCATTACGCGGTGTGATCCCATGAAATTCGGAGTCTGCTAAGAAGCTTCTGGAGTTGATTACGTGTCACTTCGGTTCTTGGGCCTCGAATTGGCTTAGGTGTCGAGGTGACTCTATGCCGAGGTGGCTTTGTACCGAGGTGCCCAAACACCCGAGATCTCAGAACTGCTGATTAGGCTCCTCTTGCCGAGTTGTCATCTTGCTAGTAGATTGCGTCCACGTGACATTTACTTACTAAGTCATGCCAAATTATCCCTCATCAATATCCGATTATAATCCGAATTTGAATTAAATCCGTTATATTGGATATGCCTATATCCAATTCAATCTAATCCATTTGCAGCCCTAAAAGAGTTAATTTAGCTAAACCGGGAGTATCGTTTAGTAAAGACACCCTAAATTACAAAGGTCTATTTCTAGAGCCCTTACAACAAGAAGAGGGAACAAGACAAGCATCTATTTAGGGCGTTCCCGAAGACTAGCTAAGGGAAGCTTTTGGTTTTATTCTAGATAAGGTTGCCAACATAACCCAAGGCCAGACAGAGAAATTCTTATTCCCAGGAAGGAGGTCTTAATCAAATCAGACCTTGAGATGCTCCCTATACATGCCATGTCATGATTTTTATTTACTCAATCCATTTGCAATCAAATCTTCAAATTGCAGAGACAGTTCTAGTGAGATACAAGTTGGGAGTAATTGGGCTACTTTATGTATAAGAAAATTGGAACGGGGCCTTGGTTTTGACGACACAACTTGTTTCAATAATACCTGTTTAGCCGAACAAACAGGTGTTGGGAGACCTATTAAGAACCTTGCTGTTGGGTAAAATCATAACCAACTACTGCTCTCATTTGGATGACTTACCTGTAATTGTGAGTATTGATGCTTCTAGTTGCTCGATACCAATTTTTGTAACGTTGAGCATAATTGATACTTGGAATGTAGCATTGACTCGTATATTAATTCTTAGAGCAAATTTTTTAAATTACCCTTATGGTTTAGTTATACCTATTGTCTTAAAATATTTTTACTCTCTCTGATTATTGTCAAAAATCTCTTTTGCCGTTAATTCTTTACATGTGACATCATGTGATTGATATATATATATTTTTTAAATTCTTAAAATACCATTCCTATGAACTGTTTGTCGTCCCCAACTTTGAGACGAAGAGCAAAACGATGACAAGAACCCCTTCTCCTTCTGATTCTTTTATGTCTTCACACTGTCTCCATCCCCATCCAAGCGTAGAGTAGCGTGTACCCCACTGACGATTTTGGGCAGTAGCACCGGTGAGGAGTCAGGAACTGAAGGGACTTCTCCCGCCATGAAACAGATGGCAGCACGGAGGAACCCATTCTCTCTTGACCGGAGACCGGACTGCCTCGATAACATGTTGAGGCAACTCCTTCGTTGATTTCTCCCCCAAGAGCCTAGAGAAGCATTGCCGTCCCATTGAACATGTCATGATGGAGACCAAAACCCCACAAGAAGGGATTGAAGCAACTAATCAAATCATGTGTAAAACGAAAGCCCAAAACCAAGGACGGATCACATGTTGCTATGTAATTTTGTTGTACAACTTTTTAAAGGGTAATGCAAATGGGTCTGATGTGCCTTTCATCACCGTTCAACTGCTTTTCAGGCTACCATTTCTCGCGTACCAGGGCGAGGGTATATTGACTGGACCGCTTCTTACTAATCACAACTCCAATGAACCGATCGCAGACTATTACGCTACAGTACATAGGAAAGCCACGACGACAATTTGAAAAGCGAATTGTTATGTAAACAGTAATCCATAGCCATGGTTTATTTTGAAAATTTAAAGAACAGTGGAAGGTAAATTTAACATTTTATTTTTGTCAATTGTCAAAAACAATAAGAGTACTATGTAAACAGTAAGGATAGAGTTACTCAATTAGCTAAATCATAAGGGTAGTTTAAGAAATTTGTCCTAATTCTTATTCTCTCTTAATAATTCCCATATTAAGTCATTAATTCAAATTCAATTTTTTTTTTTCTAATTTACGCCCATTATCTCTCATAAACTCACACAATCAATTCTCTCCTCTCAATAATTCAATTAAATTTCCTAGATTAATTCTATGCTATGCCTAATAAATTTAATACTTAAAAGTTATAAGGGGATATAAATCCAAGTATTTAAGTGGAATCTTGGTAAGAGGTATGGACCATCCCCCTAAAAAAAAGAAAAGAAAAGAAAAACAAATCTACCACCTAGTCATGCTTCAACCATTTGTTATAATTATGAGCTCAAAATTTTAACTTATATTTTCTCTTATTACATGCCTATCAACAAATTTTTAGAAACAATTGACTATTAATATTTATATATTTATAAAAGTTAACAGTAGTTTTTTAAGAATTAAGTACATCTTGGTTATTTTATCATTTTTCAACATTTTCCAATTGTTTTCCGGTCCGTACTTCACTCACATAAACTATTTAAGTATGAATTTTTTTATGTTTATATACCTCATTTATAATAAATGAAGACTAGATTTGATATCATTGATGTAATTTATGCGATTTACAGCCAATGCTCATCAAAATTTCAAAAAGCAACAAAAGTCATAAAGATAATCATTACCGGAGATGGATTTCGTCCTCAGGAATACTTGTATGTTTTTTCATGGAAGATGTTCCCAATGCACAGATGTGAAGTGTTGTGTAGATGGTGTGAAGACGAAATCCATAAACGACTATTAGCATGCCCAATAACTACCATTAATAAGCCCTGAAACAGATGGAACAGCACTAAAACTAGGTTATTTCATCCATGCCGGGATACTTCATTATATGCTTATATCTACCAAAAAAATGCGTGTATGAAATTCCATCAGATGATTCACATTTGCTTCCTGTTTTATGATAACTCCTAACCATATCAGTCCACTGCAAACTGCAGTTCTTTGCCCGCATTTTAAAACATTTTAAATATTTACAAAACTTCATCTAACATGTTGCCAATCCTCGTCAACCTATATAACCCACCCAAAAAATTAAATACAGCCGATTGTTCTGGTAAACCGCCAATTAACTGGCTTGATATCCAATGCTGTAAAGAGAGAGCAGCCAAAAATGAATACATACAAACATACCAAGTTTGCAAGATAAAGAAAGGGGAAGAGAGAGAGAACACATTCAGTGCTGAATACTTCTAAATCTGTAATGTAATATTTGATATATCTGGTCCATACATGACACATCATACTGTAAAAAAAACATGTAGATCAAGTAACTAAACATGAAAAAGAAACTGACCGCCAAACAATAATAACCCAAGACCCTCTTTGTCTTATTTAACAAACCGCAAATCAGAACACACTCAAATTGATCTTCAGGAATTGGAGAGTGGTCAAGGGACACAAGGCCTTTGGATTCCCATCTGCTTCTTTGGCTTATAAATGGAACTGTTGTATCCCAATCTACAGTTGAAAATATAGAAAAGGTACAATTCCTACAAGCACTTACATGAAATCATAATCATCTAGGGCATCATAAGTATCAACTATAACATCATCATCTTGCTTCTCAACATGAAGCTGTTTCTTCTTGGCACCTGAAACAGTAGGCAAAAGACATATTAAAGACATCTCTAAAGCAGGAAAAAGAAAACCACTTCTGGCAAGAACCAAGGAAATTAAGATACTTGGATAAATCCCACAACCCATGCTGGTCCATCAGTGACGGACAAAATCCATGTATGACATACGCAACATAATTGGGCCCAACTAATGTATCTCTTTATATTAGATATAAGATTACCATAAACACAAATTATCGAAACACAAATCATAAAAGACATGGCTATGAGCATTCAGCTCAGTCAATTTGGTCTCAGAAATTGTCCTATGTGGGGGAGGTGAATTGGGAATTAATATGATCCAATTTCTGAACACAGATACAGCACAGGGAGAAAGTTCTTTCCATATAACGGTACCTTAATTTTTAATCAAAATATAGAAAAAAAAAGAGGCACGTCCAAAATACTTACCTGTCTTCTTTTTACCCGCATTAGCTTCTTTCTCTGCCTTAAGCTTTTCATTTGCAATCGCTGTGATTGATGATGCAACTTCCTTTGCATCTGCTGCTTTCAGAGCAGTCATTGAGAGTCTCAATACCGTTTTGAGTAGGGTTATGTAATGGAAGCTCTTCTGCAAATAGAAGTAAAACATGGATAATTTGTGCATCTTTTATGGCCTTGGTTCATCAAATAGCATAATAAAAAAAAAAAAAATGCAATTCTACCCACCTCATATGGTTGGAGTTTATATGAAACAAGCTCTGCATACTCTAAGAAGTCACTCTCAGATTTAGGAATGAAATTATCAAGTGTCTTCTCATCACCTCTCTTTGCAAAAAGTTCTGTAGTGGATTTATAGTCCGCTTCTTCAACAAGTCTGTAAGGGAGGAATCGAACATTATGAACCACTTAGGCATGAAGAAAATTACCAACTTGCACACCATATAAGTACCACAATTAACTTATTACTCTAGTGCTTACCAAAGACAAGAACCTCCTGTTTTTCATTCTTAGATGTTATCTGCAGACACAAAAGTAGTGCTTTTCGAGCCATCTTAACAAATGGCTTCTCAAGAAACAGAGGACTTTTGATTTCTCACATCAAAACTGTACAAATGCCAAAAGGAGGCCATCTTAACGAGTTGTTTTTAGCACCGTAAAATGAATGTGGACACAAATGTGAACAGTGTCAGTGGGCTGATTTGTTTACAAAAGGGTTGAGTTAGGGAAAAGTGGATTATATATGCAACAAGTTGGGATTATATGATATATACACCAGCTTGAGGGGGAGTGTTAGAGTCAAAAGTCCAGGGGTATTTGAGTCATTTCATAGTGCTTTACTTAAAAGTTGTTTTGTCTATTGAGTCTGAGGTTGAGTAGAGTGTCCCATAAATAAAGAGGGGCACAACGGTCTTTGTACTTAATAGTAGAAATCTATATTATATTGATTCTAGTCGGCTGGGAGACTAATTTTTTTCTCCTCTGGAGACCAGCCAGACCATCTCTTCATCTACTCTTCTTCTTTCTCCCTTTTTTTTTTCTTCAGGAAGTAAATCAGATCTGACCGAACCACTAACAAAGTTATGGTTCATTAAGTAAAGTAATTAAAGAAATTAAGTAAATTAATTTAATTAAGCAAATTGAGTTACTAAGTTAACTAAGTAAATTATGTGATTGTTAGTTTACTATTAGTTAAGCTAATTAAGTTAGTGTTTAAATAATAATTTACTCTTAATTATTGTTAATTATTAACTGTTAAAATAATTATTATTAATTTAATGACTCTAATTTGATAAAATTCTTAATGTAATTTACTTCAAGGCTAATAGCTTTTTAACTAAGAGATTATTTTACATATAAAGTGGCCTGTAATTTCCCAAATTTTTTGACTTAAGAAGTGCCACATAAGCTTACTTTATTATTTTATAATTGTCTAATGGATCTTTCAATAATGTCTCTAACATTGTTTGTTTTTGCCTTAAGTGGCCTTTCCATTATAGACTGCGGGCGAAAAATGGCCCTTTTAATTCTTTAGGGTCTAAATACTTCTTTTTCTGACAGCTGATCTCCATATCTGAACCACCAAATACAAGTAAAATCCATGAGCTGAATGTCCAGAGGATAACATTAATGGCAAGTTAGCAATTTAATTTACCTTTGTTGGCGAAGCTTTTCAGCAACAGGATCCAGGGCCTCTTGGACTTTTACTTCTGTAGTTTTTCCCTTTTTTTCACTGACTTTAGCTGTTGGTTTGTTTGGGATCTTATTTGCAGGAGGTTCTGGAGCAGGTGCCTGACCAGAACAGAAAACAAGTATATGAAAACAATGTCTACACACCCATACAAATAGGTGATCTGTTACAAGTAGAAAGGGACAGAATAGTTAAGAGCAGACCACAGAGGACATGGATTGTAGTGAGAAATTCTTTAAGGGTTCATAATTTAACAATGGGTATGGCACTGAACAGAATGGAATGGTGAAACAGGATTCATGTAGCCAATCCCGTATAGCTTGAACAAGGCTTAGATGATGATGGCGATGATCCATGAATAGAATCTTAAAATACAAACAGATGTTGTTACTCCACTGTAGATCTACAACATTGTAGACTGTAGTTCAACTTACTACCAGAATCAAACAACATTGGTGGCCAACTGCAATTATAGCAAAATGCTGCCAAACCAATGTGGCAGCTCAGAACACTATCCAATTTATAATACCCCAGTATATACAATTTATTTAACAAGAATACAAGATTGGTAAGAGTTCCAACACCATGCACATGTTGGATAAATATGTCAATCAACTTCAGATGTACATGAGTCCATCGAAATTGCATGGGCTCAAGCGCAAGTGTCAGGTATACATGAATTTTGAAAGAGAGAATCCATCCAATCCAAGAATCTTATTCTAGGGATTCAACTACTTTGCCTTCCATGTTCACTGCCCAATGTTATTTCCAATATTAAAGTTCCCTGAATTAGAACATTTATGTAAACATATAAAACCTTTACCATAAAACTTTCTAGATGGGTGATTTAATGCTCATAAATCCACTGATCAGCCAATTATTCTCTATCTATTTTTGCTGCCTATACAATGTAGTCAAGAGTCTTATTTAGTAGAACCATCACTCCCCAACTCATTAAAAAAAGTAGTAGAACCGCCCTCCAATATGTAACCCTTAACCCATAAGATGTTCTACAGTAAAACAAACTAATGCTATATTGTGTTGTGCCTCAGAAAAGTTAAAGCACCATGTCCAAACAATTGTTGTATGCCCAAATGATAAAAAATGATGGCTGAACTATAGGATCAAAATTTTGGATCCAGCATGGATCCTGTACCCACATGACTGCAGTGTTATATCAGTATGAAACTATGAATAACAAAAAAGAAGAGACTGGATACTAGAAAACATAGCTTTTTCTAATCAATAACAAGAGTTTACTAATTAGAATCAAGGAAGAAGTGTTTCTTTGGAGAAGTATGTATTCCATTTCTCTTAACAAAAATACATCAGCCCATGCACATCAAGGCACTATACAGTGAGAATATACAAGAACAAAGACGTACATGTGAGAAATAAAGACAAATTTTACACCAAAACCAAGCACGAAAACCATGGGAGATGGGACAAAACTCTGGACATGAGGCTCTACATCTTTTCTGATTTAGCAATATGAAGTTTCTAAGACTGAATGAAACAGAAAATTGTTTTATGATTTCTCCCAAATTTACTAGGATTTTCTTTTCTACGCAAATAAGCTAGACGACATGTTGTGAAGGTTAGATTCAACCCTAGGTCATCTGGGAAATTTAGTTTTCTAAATCATATAGCCCCCTTAATTTCCTAAGTATACTTCAACTAATGTACAACACAAGCCTCCTTGTTTGACAACTCTTGTAAGGGAAAGGAGAAGACGATATATAGTAAAGCTTGGAACCTAAGAGTCTAAGACATATATTCCAGCAGAAATAGGAAACTAAGAATAAAGAAAGTTAGTACTGCATCCTTGCATAACTGCTGTATAAGAATAGGTAAATAATTCTACATATTTAATTTTCCTAAAAAGAGGAATAGACAAATATTAAGAAGACTATAACAATGAAGAGTTGTACCGGTGTGGGCTCATCTTCATCCTCCCAAGAATCCTTCACATCACTGTCATCTACATCTTCATCATCCCATAAGTTCTTAGGTTGCTCCTTTCTGAGAACAGGTGGAACTGGCTCATCCTCTGTTAAAATTCAGCCATCATTATAAAATATACTAACAGGCTGAAGCCATTTAAAATATACAATGTAAGAAGAATAATTGTAAGGGGGAAATTTTCCATGACTCACTATTTGGAAAATGTATAACTGTGTGATAGAAAATTTAGTAAAACAGTTTTCAATTCCGTTCAACTCCCCCGTAAATATAAGTTAAGTACTTTGTTCATTTCAAACCCCAAGTACACAAGGCAGGGAGATCATAAGGAAATGTTGGTCTTCCTATATCTTGAAAGTAACTTGCACGTAGTTGCTACTGTAATATATATACAATGGCTGGAGCTGAAGCAAGTAATCTGCCATATGAACTCATCAATTTGTTCAAAATTAATGCACTCATTATGTTATAAACTTATGATGATTCTATGGCAGAAAACACCCTTATTTTTTCAGTTTCTTTTATTTGTTAATGTACTGGTCAAACATTCAACCTGTCACCATCCATAATACTGGTTTGGTTTACTCCCAACCCGTCCTTCCTAAACCTAATCTGATCCAAAGGCTGCAGTGTTTTAAGACTGATCTAAGGGCTATTATTGTTTTAACAGATTGACCCATTCAGCCTGTACAGTCAAACCAGTGACTCATCACCTGGACAGAAAACCGGGTCGACCTCTGGTTCAGTTCTTAAAACACTGGTAAAGATATGTTTACTGACATTTGAGGATCCAATGGCAGAACCCATCCTTAATCAAAATTCCTTTTTTCTTCTATTTTAAGGTAACAAAGAATTTATAGGAAATAAAGGATGTTATATTTGAAGTTGCAACCTACTTCACTTAGAACAACATTCCTTCCATAGTGCTGGTATCAACAACTTTACTATAATTAGTAATTATGAGAATTACTATGAATAGTAAATCCAAAAGTTACAATAAATAGTAATTTCAATTTTTGTTAAGTAAATAAAATATTTAGAAGAATAGAACTTAACAATATTCTTAAGACACCAACAAAATAAAAAAATATTTACAACAGAGATTCAAAAATAATAAATTCAAATCATCCAAAAATTAGAAAACTAACATTGGATGAAGAATTGGGAGAAAACCCTTAAAATGAACTTTCAACTTAGTTCAAAATATTTTCCACCTTGTAATGTTGAGCAAAAACAAATTCAAAATTTTCCATATCATTTTTCTTTCTCATAAAAATCCAATCAAAACCAAGCACAGCTGAGAACCACATGTTTGAAGAACTGTTTCAATTACATCCTTAAAAATTTTTCTATATAAACCCTGTTTTTCATACCCAACTATCAGTAGCTCATGAATCCAGCAAAACCTAGTTATGCAGGCCTTCTTTTGTGTCAAACATTACCTAAAGCAGCCAAAGAAAACCAGAAATTATGACAAAATTGTTTTTTAGAGAAAAAAAAAACAAAAGAAGGCTTGCATTAGAGTAATTACACCACTGCAATCTGACAACAAATATGAAAGATAAATGCGTAGGTTGATGGCAAAGATGAACATGTCAGATGGTATTCTCATTAAATAATTTAAAAAATAAGGAAAAAGGAAAAAAAGAAATATATCCAGTAGAAAAAAAACATTACCCCAGTCCTCCATCTTGCTTGCACTCTTAAGTTATTCAATGCACTGAACTATTGCCTAAATGTCTGAATAAAACAAGTTATGGTTCCTGCACGGGCCATATATCTGAAATTTAAGGATTGATGGACAAATTAAATTACAGTTATAGCACAGACATCAAGGTGGATAGACGAGGAAGGTTATAAAGTAGCACCTTGTTGCCTAGGCAATAACTTTTGGTAATGACAATATAGAAAATAGGATCTACATCAAATAAACCAAACAGCAATTTTTAAATGAAGAAAATGTAGACAAAAGAGAATCTACAGCTATGATAGATTGCAAAAGAGGAAAACAATCACAAAATAACCTCAAACACAAATTAACCTAAAAATGTGAGTGAGTGAATGAGTGAGAGAGGGAGAGTGAGAGAGAGAGAGAGAGGAGTGATGAATGCAACTAAAGTTCCTACAGGAAACCTAATGAAACACTAGATAACCAGATCAAACCAACAGTGAACCTAAAACCTTAGAACAATCAATTTCAATTAGTAGAAAATAAATCAAAAAGTATATGTGACACAAAAAGGATATCATCATCATCATCCATGCCTTATCCCAACTATATGGGATCGGCTACATGAATCCTGTTTCGCCAATCTGTTCAATTTAACGCTATATCCATTGTTAAATTATTAGTGCTTAAATCATTTCTTACTACCAGTCCTTTTTGGTCTACTCCTAGTTCTTCTAGCCCCTACCACTTGTAACAAATCACTTCTTCTTACTAGAGTTGTGGTCTTCTTTGCACATGACCAAACCATTTTAGTCTACTCTCTCATTTTATCACCTATTGGAGTTGCTCCTAGGTTCCTATGGATGACTTTATTCCTGAACCTATCATTTCTAGTTTTTCCACTCATCCATCTTAGCATTCACATTTCTGCCATACTCATTTTCTGGAAATATTGTTTGTTGACTGCCCAACACTCTTCTCCATACAACATAGGTGGCATTACAACCGTTTTATAGAACTTTCCTTTTAATCTAAGTGGTATCATAGAGGTTGATTGCACCCCTCCATTTTGCCCAACCTACTCTAATTCTTTGGGTGACATCCTCCTCAATCTCTTTCTTGTTATCAATTATTGAACCAATGTACCAGAAATGGTTACATTGAGTTATCTCTTGGTATCCAATCCTAAGTGTATCCTGATTTACACTTCTATTATTACTAAATTTACATGTCATATACTCTGTTTTAGTCCTACTTATTTTAAAACCTCTTGTTTCTAAGGCATTTGTCCATAAGCTTAATTTTGCATTAATCCTTCATTAGTTTCATCAATTAAAATAATGTTACCCGCAAACAACATGCACCAAGGAACTTCTTCCTGAATATGTTTAGTTAATTCATTTATGGTTTAGTGCAAATAGATAAGGGTTAAGTGCTGAACCTTGGTGAAGACCCATTGTAATTGTAAAATCTAAAGTCTCTCCTACTGGTGTTATAATATTGGTTGTTGCCACCTCATACATATCCTTCACTAGGTTTATATACTTATTTTGAACTCCTTCACTAGGAACTCTATCATAAGCCTTTTCTAGATCAATGAACATCATATGAAGATCTTTCTTCTTCTCTGTGAACCTTTTTATCAATCATCTCAAAAGAAATATAACTTCCATGGTTGATTTCTCTGCATTAAAGCCAAATTGGTTCTCTGATACACTTGTTTCAAGCTGTAATCTTTGTTCAATTATTCTCTCCCAAAATTTCAGTGTCAAAAAGATATAATTTTCTTATTTCAAAAATAGATAAATGGAGGCATGATGAACAAAGGAATAATGTACATTGCTAGAAGAATGCTCAAGAAATAAGCTTGAATATGTATATTGTGCAAATCAAGGTTCGATGTAGCCAAAGCTTCATTAGATAGCTGTTTTACACTCCTTTTTTTTATAAGTAAACAAAGTATTTGTTAAATATCAAAGAGAATAAGTAAACAAAGTATTTGTTACCTCTTAGACAGACTTTATAGAAAGAAGATAACATCAAAACAATTACAACTGAGCCCAATAAAAACTGTCCCTATTGACCCCTTGTTTAACTAACCCATCTGCCATAGCATTAACCGTTTTGCACTCCATGCAACACAGGAGCTTCTACAGGGAAAGCAGTTAGGGGAAGCCTTGGAATGTTCACCCAGATAATAACATAAAAAAGAAAACATACAAGGGGTGAGAACCATGTAAATAGAAAATTTGAAACTAATTCTGCTAGAACTCCACAGAGTCTATGATGTCCAGATAGGGTGGGTTGGTTGGGGTTAAATGTGGGTTGAAGAACAACCTACCCATTAGACACCCAAATTCGTTTATGATCCATTTAAAAGGTACATAGGTGGGTTGTAGCCCAAGTCAATCCATCCATTCTAACCCAACCATTGGAAGTGAGAAAGGGTGGATCAAGAACAAGAGAATTGAACAAGATAGAAGAGAATGTAGGAAGACGGTGAGTTAGATTACAAAACTTGTCAGGAATGGCATGGATCAATTTGTAACAATTCGTTTGTTTCTTTTGTTCTTGTCAGGAATGAGACCCACATTTATTACCCACATATTAAAAAGAAGCTAGAGTAGGAGGCAATCTATTCTCATAGGCTGAGGACTAAAATCATTTAGGGGGTGTTTGAGAACATGGTTGGTTATGTTTTCAAAAACAAAAACAACTGACATGTCACCAAAAACATTATAACTTTGCTGATGTGGCAGTTGTTTTTTGTTTTCAAAAACAAAACCAACCATGTTGTCAAACACTCCCTTATTGACTTATTGGAGGCATGATAGGTGACATCAGTTACAGGAAGTGCCTATTGTGTGTTGACCATGATCATCTGTACATTGTGAATCCATGTGACGCATGAATTTGAAGTTGCCCATCACTTACAAAAACCAGATAATATGGCTAAAAAAATTCAAATCAGGTTGACCTCCTCAAACCCAGTAAAAACCATTGGATCTGAACAGATCACGGTATCTGATTTGTTGGCTTTTAGATCCAAGTAGCCTTAAAGTTTTCACATCTTTTGGACATTATAAGTAGGGGTGAGCATTCGGTTTATTCAGTTAAAAACCAAACCGAATAAACCGAAATTTTTAAAACCGAAATAGAAAAATGAAAACTGAACCGAAACTGAATTACAATAAAACCGAAATAACCGAACCAAACGGTTTTTGGTTATTTCGGTTAAAAACCAAATTTAATTAATATTATATATTATATATTATAACCTATAATATATATTATGAAATTTAATTTCATTATAATTCATTATATATAATATATTAATATATTAATATATAAATATATAGCATATTATATATTATATATTATATATTATATATTATATATTATATATTATATAATGAATTTTAGTTAATTCGGTTTTTTGGTTAACCGAATTTCTAAATCTGAAAACCAAAAACAGAAATTGTGAAAAACTGAATTAACTGAACCGAATTACCCAAAAACCGAAAAACCAAACAAAAAAAACCGAAACCGAAATTTTTGGTTCGGTAATTCGGTTTTAACCGGATAATGCTCACCCCTAATTATAAGATACAACACACTTGATCATCTTTAGGTAAAATGTGAGAGTCGAAATAACAACTTTCCAAATTGAGATAGTTTCCATCAAGTTATGATGGAGATGTCCTGAAAATATGTATGAACAACTACCAATTCATGGTGATGGTTAACCATTACCCTACGTAAGCCATCCATCCAAATTCAACCCAAACGGGTTTCTAATTCAATATACAACCCAGCAAAAGAATGGGTGGGTTTGGATGGGTTACAAGTGGGCCGGTCAGGAGGGTTAAGTGGATCAGGTAAAAAATTGCCACCCCTAGACAGATATAGATACCAACATGGACAAATAAATGGGGATACAACTTTCCATTTCCTAAGATCCTGGATAGTGGATATTAATATGGATATGGGTATCCCATTTAATATGTTTATGTTATGCTTCTACGTCTTTGAAGCTAATGCAGAGGAGTGAAAATAGGCTGAGTGAAAAATCTGTGTTTGCTTTTACTTTATATTTGAATTTGTCTTGTTTGTTTCTGAGAAGTAAAATGATGTGACCCTCACTTTATGTGAAAGAAAATGGAGACAATGGAAGGTTTCCTGTTGGGAGGAGTAAGGTAGGAGGCAAAATAATGTGCTCCCCACTTTATATGAGAGAGAATTAAGATAGAAGGTGGTAAAAATTTTCAACAGTTTTTCAAAATGCAACTTTTGCAGCAGGTAGAAGTACAAACCATAGTTACAAACAAATTGATGCAAAGCTGAACTGAGTATAAAATTTTAACCAGTTCAGATACACACTGCAAACAAAAGGAGACTAAGTGTCATTTCTAAAACTAATAATCATCAATATCATCACCACCCAAGCCTTAACCCAACCATACGGGGTTGGCTACATGAATCCTGTTTAACCATTCTGTTTTGTTTAACGCCATATCCATTGTTTAGTTAGCACTTAACTCATTTCTTACTACTTCTACCAATGCCTTTTTTGTTCTACCCCTAGCCCTTCTAGCCCCTTCAACATGTAACATATCAATTGTTTAGTTAGCGCTTAACTCATTTCTTACTACTTCTACCAATGTCTTTTTTGTTCTACCCCTTGCCCTTCTAGCCCTTTCAACATGTAACAAATCACCTCTTCTTATGGGTGGGTGCTGTTGATGGTCTTTTATGAATGTGACTAAACCATCTTAGTCTGCATAGAGAAGGTATCAGAAGTAAGATGCTCCCCATCCCATATATTATTCCAAAATTGAATACAGGATCTGTGCCAAAAGCAATGAACTTGTTGAAGTCAACCAGAACCTTTTTTGATAAGTAAGTCAACCAGAACTTCGGTAGACATTTCACAATCCAAACCCAGTCCTAACCCAATTAGAGGCATATAAAAACCCATCCCAATAGAGGCAAGGAATGGCAGTTGATCCAATTAACCTATCCAATTGTCATCCCTAAAGATACTTCTCAAGCCAATTATATACCACTAGAGATAACTGAACCACTTACAAATACAACAAATTTCAGAGAAAAATGTCACTGCCTTGAGTACAATGCTTATAATAATTAACAATAATTGATAGCACCCTGTTTTTATAACCAAAATCAGAGCCATTTATCCCCATTTTGGATTTAAACCTTCAATAATTCCTGGCACTTGCTTTCTTTTGTGGATAAACTTTGTATTTTTATATCTTTTTTTCAGCAACTATGCCCTTATTGACACCATGAAACTCCTCTCCTCACCATGGATAGGACCCACTTCCTCTTGAGTATCAACCTCTTTAATTTGGGATGGTATCTTTTCCTTTCTTAGGAGAATGGATCTCAACTTTGTTTTTCCATCTCTTGAATCTTGATGTGCTCCTTAAGGGGAGTGTTGCATGGAAACACAGGAGTCAGAATGCTACACATGTCCATGAGTCTGAACAGTAAGATGAGAAAACATGGACTTGTGTACATTTATGGAAAAGCATATAGTATTAAAACAATTCATTTTTTGAATGCTATGTTGTCTTTGTTATTAAGTGGTGTTTGATATAAAAAAATGAATTCATTTTGTAGATTAATTGTTTATGTATTTTGTCAAATAAGCTAGGAGAGTCCATGCAACACTAATAAGGACCCTTATTTCCTCCAAAAAGAAAGGTAATGTCTTACATGACATGCGAAGCCCCCAACTGCTACTCCAACTTTCCCATGAAGCCTAAAACCTTGGATGACATGGTCTCAAAGAAAAAGGTGATAGCATGCAATGTATTCCTCTGACATTCAGAAGTACCAGGGAATTATCAGAAGCTGGTCTAGGAAGGACCACCTGTACCATTGTTGGGTTTTTCTTCCCATTAGATGATGACCAGGAATTATCTAATAAGGGCCCTTATTCCCATGGGTATGACATTAAACAAAATGGAATGACAAAACAGGATTCATGTAGCCAATCCCATATAGTTGGGAAAAGGCTTAGTTGATGATGAGCTCTTATCATAATATTTAATTTTCACAATTTAGGTTTCTCATTGTAAGTTGTCCAAGTGAATATAACTCCACAGAAATACAAGTCTATGGAGGACACCCTATCAATAGAAGCTCCAAAATCTAACAATTTCTACAAAGATTATAGGTCCTCTATTTTCTCAAGCATAAAATGGATTAAGCTAATGATCGATGAAACCTCCCAGAGCCCCACATGGAAAGAACCCCTGAAACCGCTACCACTTGGTCCATAACTCCTGCAGGAGCCCAAGTAACTAATAATCCTCATTCTTACATGGTATAGAAGCAGAGAATAAGTAGACATTGAACTCCTCCATTACAGACTTGCTCTATAGAATCAAGATACCACTAGAAGATCCTACAGGTAAGAGGGCAATGCCTTGATAACTGCAAGTTATGGTATGAAGTATGAAGATAAACCTTGTAGTATGCATTTAGCAGTTAACTCACCTTTAATTACAATCTGGACTGAGTATGAACAGTTGAGCCATTAAACATGGAATCTAATAAGGTTCTCTAAGTAATGAGATTCCAAATGGCCATCGTAGGCCAGCAAACTCAGCATCAGTCGTGTGGAGTTATTGAATTGAGCATACACGGCCATCCCCAAACAACTACCACTCGACAGTAGCAAATAAAAGGGATAAAAAAGAAACAGGTCATCAGGATCACAAGTATATGGGGTCTGATCTCCTACAGTTGTCATCAATTGTTCTGGGCACCTTGCATTAGGAAATCCCATCTCTCAATTATTCATCTATCGTTTTATGTTTTTTGCTTTATCATTCTCCTTTACCAAATGCAGGCTCATTGCTTATTTCGGCCCATCAAAACCTTTAGCTATTGATACCAAAAAAGATACCTCTTACTTATTAAGAAAAGTAGACATTAGAGATTAACAACAACGACAACAGAAATAATAAGTTCACAGTCTAATTTGCAGATTTTATGGATCCTAATCATATAAGGTAATAACTGAATCATAAAAGAGTTCATCAATCCTTACAATTTGCGTCATTAGAATCGATTAACAATCTACCCAATAACAACTAATCAAATCAACCATACTAAATTACTAAGAATTCGGCGCAAAAAGACCGAAAGAAAAATAAAAGAAAACAGTTAGAAAACAAAGTTCAGGAATCGAAAAGAAAAAAAAAAATACTCTTAAGAATTGAAGTACTGACAGCTGAATATTGTAAATGTGAAATGGAAAAGCCAAGAATTCTCCACCAGTGCACCTCAAATCCCAGAAAATCGACTGAAACTGAAAATCATCAGAAACAAATGTTATTAGATTCACGGGCCTAGAAGCAAAATCCTTTTCTTTAAATCAATTAGTTAGGCAAAAAAGCCATTAAATTACAAACAATGCTCTTAAAAGAAATTCGATTGATATGACAACAGGAAACAATTTCTCTTCAAACTCCATTAGGAATCAGAAGAAATAACAAAACAGAATCGAATCTGATTCGTGATAACAAGACTCTAGAGAGAGAGAGAGAGTACCCAAAGAAGGCTGAAGGAGACACTGCTTAGGTAGATGTGTTCGTAAGCGGATTTCGTCAAGCGTGGGCTGAGAATCTAAACGAACTGAATAGACACGGTCAGCTATATATATGGGCTGGGAATTTAGACTTTGAGCAGGATTTCCAACTCGGGCCGTGTTGGGTCGGTTAGGCTGTGTTTGGTTTGATAGAAATTAAGAGAGAAATAATTTTTTTCGTGTAAATAAGAGAAATAAAAATACTTTATTTTTTGATAACTATAGAAATAGAAGGTTGATGAAAAGTTATTTTAAAGAAATTCACAAAATTCTTAATGACTTTCCCTCAACCTTCTGTTATTTTTTTAATTTTTATCCAATTAAATATAGCCTTTTATATATATTAAATAAATAAGGGTAAATCATTTGAACCTCCCCTTGTAGTTTCTGACAACTGTTTTAACCTTCTACTTTGACATAAGATTGTAATCAGATGCGATTCGGATTAGATTCAGTTGCATCTGAATTCAATCCGATTATTGAAATTTGAAATCCCAATCCGATCTGAGTTCAATATATTGGATTTAATCCAGTTCTCTTCTATTGCCATTAAAATAAAGAAAAAAAATTAAATTAATTATACTTTAACTTATATATAATGTATATAAATATAGAATGTTATATATAATATCTATAAATATGCATTACATATGACCAGGTTTAGATTTTCATTCGATTGGATAGGGTCAAATCAGAATGTGATCCGAGTTTAATGTTTTGGATGCTGGATTGAATTTTGATTTAATCGATATCGATTCCTCTCTATTGCTATTAAAATGATGATTATTTATTTTAATTTATATAATGTTATAAACATGTAATATCTATATTTATATTATATAAAATGAATATTTGCCTTGATTTTGGTGCAGGTCATAAAATTTAAATATGATTATATACTCTTTACTTAGCACATGTATATATATATATATATATATATTGGAAAGTGTGATGTCTTTCGCTCTCTCCTTTCCTTTCCAATAGAAATGCTCTACATTGTTCTTCGTTTTGACATCTCAAAATTAATTTAGGGATTATTGACTTGCCTCAAATATGTTCTTCTAGCAACCTGAACACAAAGACGACGAACAGGATGACATGGTGACTAATATAATTGTTAGGTATGCTCAATAATCAAAACACTATTCATCTTCTTCCTCTACCAGTGATGATCAAAATACCACCACCAAACTAGAGTCAAAGATACAAATCCCATCCTCATTATCTGTGAGACTGTAGGAGACATGGCCTCTATTGATCAAGACCTCTGGTTTGTTTATTGGTCCATTCTTCGTGATTGGGTTTCTTCTGTTCATGGTTGCATTTGTTAAGGACAGTTCCAAAGCTTATTCGCCAAGGCCTAAGGGATGCATGCTTCTTCATATCTTCGTGAATTTTTCAATGGTCTACTTTGAGAGGAGACTCAAAGATTTGCTCACGATTGGCCGAGGCAGGTCATTTGGGACATTATATATGCTGGCACTTTCCTTGGATTTTCTTCCTTCTGTACTTGTGGAGAGAGAAATATGATTAATTCGATACAGGAAATTAGGTATTCCCAGTGAATTGCATTGCTGATCAAAGCAATAGGTTGTTGCAATTGCTACTTAATTTTGTTGTAGATGATGAAAGAGGGTTTAGAATGGAGTAGAAATACAGTTTTCTTTAAGTGAATCTCTCCTCTTTATATCATAAAATTGATGGGTTGGGAGATGAATCTTACGCATAGATGGCACAATTGAATTTGGGTCACTATATTTGCTTGAACTTATTTAGGGTCTTGGATGTTTTTATTCTTTTGTAAATTTTCTTTGGCATTAATAATAATAAAGATATTTGACATGGTGAATAGACATTATATTATCTAATAAGTGGGAGATATGGTCATTGGCATTACTATGTGTGAATGTTCGAAAAAACTAGTTGTTGTTCACTTCATGGCCAAACAGATAGAGTCACCGCTAGGGGTGCTTACAGTTTGGTTAACCAAATCATGGGGTATTTTTTCAAACCAAATTGATCTGATCGGTTTTTTAAATATGCAAACCGAAATTGAACCGATGCAACTGATTAACTAGTGGATCGGTTAACCACGATTCGGTTTTTTGATTTTTTATACACTTAAAAAAAAAACTAAAACTAGTATCGGACTGTTGGTGCCGTTGGTTGTTGTCGGTGCTGGTGGTTGCCGATGAGTGTTGCTTGAATGAGAGCTTGAGAGGTGGTGTGGTTGGGCCTGGCGGAGGCACAGAGAAGAGAAGTGAGAGAGAGAGAGAAGAGAGAATTGAGAGAGTGAGAGAGTTGATCCTTGCTTGCGAAACTAGTTGGACCGTTGGTGCTTGCTTGCCGGCGAGGCAGCGACCGTCATTGTCGTGTTGGTGGTTGGCGCAAGCCACACAACCTTTGGAGTGGAAGAGAGCTGAGAGAGCGAGAGAAGAAAAAACTGAGATAAATGAGAGAGAGAAAGCTAAGAAAAAGAGTTGGCAGTTTGGGAAAAGACAAAAGAGGACTGACAGTCAGACACTCTGGCAGAGGTAGACTCCCAAACTTTCAATTGAAACTTGAAAGGTTCAAATTTCAAAAAAAATTGAAATTTGAACCTTAAGGCTGAAAGTCTCTTAGACTCATACACTGTAGCTAATAAATCGGTACAGTAGGCGACTAGGCACCGAATAAATGGAAATCTTTTATTCGATTTTCAAAAAAAAACTAAAAAATATAATATATAATATATATAACATGATATATTTATATAAATATTTATTAATTGCTGGTTTTTTTGAATGGTTAACCGAAATTGAACCAAAACTATCGGTTTTTTAAGAATATCGAACAGAAACTGAATCGACCGATTCAATTAACCAATTTTTTTGTTCAATTTCGGTTAGTTTTTTCGGTCGGTTCAGTCTTTGGTTTTTGTTTGCTCACCCCTAATCACCACCCATCAAGATAGATAACTAGGAGTGATGGGCCTCCCAAATTTGCATTTCATAAAATGTTTGGAATTAATAGTGACTCCACATCATTCGGCTAGGATAAGGCCAACCTAGGTAAGTTGAGAGAGAGAGAGAGAGAGAGAAGTGGTTAGGCACTATTTCTCTTGTCAGTGTGAATGCTAGTTTTCCTTTCTAACTTTTTAAATAATGAAATTTTTTTGAACTTAGATTGAGAGCTAATGCTCTCCAACAACTTGGAAGGATATTGAGAGTGCTTCTTTCTCTCTTCTGGACCAGCCTCATTTTGGACGTAGGGGCCTGAGCAAAAGGGTGGGAAACACCACCCCTTTTCTATCAGGACCGTACCCCCACTTTCAAACTCAGTTGGTTGGTCTCAAGAGTCAAAAGAGTGTACCGGTTCCCCCAAATGCAAGAAAACGCGACAGCTCTCACACTCATAGAAATGAGATATGAACAACATAGAGAAACCTAAAGGAAAAGAAGGAACAAAAAAAGTAAAGGAGGCTAATAAAAGAAAAACTAAATGAACTAAACCAAAGAACACAAAATTTGAATCAAAATAACAGAGTGTGAGGTAAGGACATTACCTCGATGTAGCCTTCGAGTAGGGAATGAACACTGCTATATTGTTGAAGTAGGAACCGGATTTATGGGAAATTGGTCGCTTGAGAATAACTATATCGAACTACACATTCTAGGTTGATTTGGTGATGCCAGAGGGGAAACCGTTCTGATTGGTGCTACTTTGGAACACCTAAGTTGTTGTTTGTTGGATTCAAACCTATTGTGAGAGAGGGGCTTAGAGTGTGGTTTGTGGTTGAGCACCCACCATATTAGTTCCCCCCTTCTCAAAATTGACTCTCCTATGTATAATGGGAATGAGGGGGTGTTTTGAAACTTCTTAAAATGAAGGGGGTTTGGTGGGTTGGAATTTGGAAGGGTGTTTTGACAAGCTAGGAGCACCCACTCCACCCTGAATCAACTTCCACATAAGAAAAGGAAATTTTAGAGGGAATGGTTTTGCTCCAGAGAGCTTTGCTCCAAGGTACTTACAGATTCAATACTCTGATCACATTCTAGGCACTTTTGGAAGTAAATTTCCCATCTGTAGTTGCCAACCAAACTACCTTATCTTCCTTGTTGAAAAGATAGATTCTAGAGTGCATAATCGACTCTATTATATGCTGAGAGAGAATAGGCTTCACTTGGGACAAATTCCATTCCCCATCTGCAGACAAAACATCCTTCAATTGCAGCCCAATATTCAAGCTAGAAATTGATATTTCCTTCACCTACAAGCCATTTTGAAGCTGCCACCAAAGTTTCATCTGATTCTTCCATCTGACCAACACAACACACAATCATCCAAAATATTTTTTTTTCTTGTCTAAAACCTTCCAAATCATTAATACAATAGAGTTTCTTATCTGACAGGAAACTCCCTTCCTTCCTTCGTTGTTTACAGATCAAATTGCCCTTGGCTTAGCCTAGAGTAGTCGTAATCCCACCTAGAAATTCAACTTTTGATCTTGAATCTTCTGTAGCAGTCATTGTCATCTAGCATCAAATCTAGACCTAAACCATGGGTGCAATCATGCAACCTTCTAGTAGTTTGAAATACCTACTGAACTTATGACTTGGGAGCTTTTTTGGGATTAGTTTTCATTGGTTCCTGTTTAGATTTATCCTCTTTTTTTTTCCTACTTGAACTTTTTCTTTCTATTTATCACATTTTTTCTATTCAGCTTGTAGTCCGATTCTTCATGCCCATGCTTGAAGCAAAACGAAAAACGAGTAGTAGAGAGGAAGATTTTCATACAATATCTCCTATTGAAATCCTTTCCTACTGAGTCCAACCCAAACCTTACATGGATGATCCTTTATGAGATTGACCTCTATACAAACCCTAGTCGTCGTGGTTCGGGTTAACCTTGTGGTTGCTTGATCCACTTTCAACACCCTATCAGCTATCTGTGCAATAGATTGCACATAGCGATCATTATAAAAATTAATTGGGAGTTTCGATAAAGATATCCACACTGGCACAACCGAAGGCTCCCACCCCAACTCCATTCCTAGAGTCCACTTTAGAAACTGAAAAAGATATTCTTTAATTCTTATTACCTCTCGAAGCCAAACCCTTAAGAATTTTGCTTCACAAAACGAATAAGAGAGTAGTCACAACCATTGCTTTCTTTAGATGAAAAGTTCCCACCAAGAACTCCCTTATCTTTGCCAAGGAATGTCGACCATGCACACTTTTCCCCACTAGAGCAAACTGAAGAGGATTTAGAGATTTCTTAATCTCTTCATTAGTGAAAAGAACAATCGGTTCTCCCCATTTGATGGAAGGAACCTTAATTAGAATGTCTACAACTGGAGGATCTAAACACACCAGAAAAGGAGTAGAATTCAATGTGAGAACAACAACAAAACTAGGGTTTTTAGGGGGCTTCCCTGTAGAGGTGTCAATTGGACTATATTTGGTCTAATCTAGTCCAGTCCAATGTGAGTCCATTACAAATGATACAAAAGGGGGAAAAATTATGGATTAAATGAAAAATGATTGTTGAAAAATATGTGGGAAAAGATGCCAATGAAGTGAACGAATCTACCCAAATAGAAAGGGGGAGTTTCATCTCCCAAGTGAAAATGGAGGAATCAACTTTACCTCCTATATATGTAAGGTTAATGTATCACTATATCACTAACTAAATTCATTTTTAAGTTTCAAGGGTGAATATCTCTATTTATCCTCATCTTTGTCATCAATTTAAAAGGAAAAGACATGATTAATTATTTGTATCTAATGTTTAAGGTTAATTAATTTTAAACTTTAGAAGCCCATAAATTATTAATCAAGGATTCGTTTTGAAATAAGTTAGTATTTTCTATTTGAACCATCGCTGATTTTATTTAGGGTTAATTACTTAAATATACCTTTTGGTTTCCACCTTACTAAAACATTTTTATTATAAAGATTGATGAAAAGACATAAAAGGACAAAAATGCCCTTGATTGTTCTTTAAATTTCAAAATATGCACTTAACTTTCTTTCAAAAATCAACTTTAGTTTTCATGGAAGACTACCTTGACCTTACCTTCTCCACAACTTCAAGAGACTCAAGCCCTAGCTTTTGCCACTCTTTATATATAGTGACATTTAAATTTCAGGTTCCTCAATGGAATTAATGAGAAAAATCGTGTGTATTTTACTTTTCATTTTCTTCTTTCCTTTCCTTTTCTCTCTCTCCTTTTCTTCTCAGCAAGCAATCATATTTTATAGTCATATTTTACTCTCTTAATAGTATTCAAAACCCTAAGAAGACTAGAGGAGAAGATGCAAAGAGTTATAGGGAGGAGACTTCTGTTTCTGTACTTGCATCCCAACTAGATTTCATTGACGAAGACTAGAGGACAAGATGCAAAGAGTTGTAGGGAGGAGACTTTTATCTCATATTGGCATCCCAATCAGACCACATTGGTAAAGACTAGAGGAGAAGATACTAAAAGTTGTAGGGAGGAGACTTTCATCTTTGTATTGGTGTCCCAATTAGATCAAGTTGGCAAAAACCAGAGGAGAAGATACTAAGGCCCCGTTCGCTTTTCGGTAAGTTAATTATTTACTCGAGTAAGTGCATTTGCATTTACTCATGTTCTTTTATTTTTTAAGTAAATAAGATAATGACCATTTTACCCATAAAATTCCATTATCAAAAGGGGCATTTTTGTCCCATCCAAGTGTTGGCAACTTTGCCAAGATGGAAAAGTTAATTTACCCACCCAAGAAATGGTTATCACTTACTCAGAAAATAAACTTTTAATCCTATTGACCAACTTTCCCCCCTCTCAAAATTCAAAAAGCGAACGCCCCCTAAGAGTTGTAGGGAGGAGACTTTCATCTTTGTATTAGTGTCCCAATCAGATAATGTTGAGAAAAACCATAAGAGAAGATACTAAGAGTTGTAGGGAGGGGACTTTCATCTTTGTATGGGCATCCCATCCAAACCATCTCAGAACCTCATAGCTACTTCCAACAATCCCACATCATTGAACTACTCTCACCATGGATTCCCTTCCACATCATTCTTCCCTGATTCAACCAAAGGTTAATCTCCTTTTTTCTTTTATTTGTGGTGTCATTTGATTTTGACCTTCAAAGGACACTACAGACGCACATTGGGAATATCTCCCTTGTTATTCTCCCCACAAATACCCCACAATATATCCCAACCATGTATTGGGAACATCTCCCAATGACAAGTATGGAAGATGTTTTCAATGCACATTGAGATGTGCACGTGGGGCACACTTTGTGCAACGCAAATGTAAACTCATAATAGAGGGTAGGGGTGGGCAAGAAAAACCGAAAAACTGAACCAAACCGAAAATCCGATTAATTGAACCGATCGGTTTGACATTTTTAAAAAACCAAAGGTATCGGTTTGATTTCAATTAACCAATATAAAAAACCGGCGGTTAACTGAACCGACCGGTATACATATATTTTTATGTATTTTATGTATATTATATATATTTTATATTTTCTATGTATTATAAATTAATAAATATGCATATATATAATATATTATTTATTATTTAATATATAATATTATACATATTTCTAATTTTTTATTATATTTATACAATTTTTTATAATATACATTATAAATATAAAAAAACTGAAAACCGACAAATCAAATGATCAACCGATTAACTGATCGACTTCAATTCAATTTCGATTACTGATTTTCCAAGAATCTATAACTCTGATTAGGTTTGAAAAGCAGCTAGGCCCATGGACTGTGAGCACCCGTAATAGAGGGCCTATTTGTGTCAAGTAGGGCCACCCCACAAATTATATATACTTAAATAATTTTTATGAAAACCACATGTAATTTTAAGTAGTTTAGACAAGCCACATGATATATTTAATTAATTAGCCCTTTCATTTAATTAATAAAGACCATGCTTCGTGGAAGGAATACACAGTTAGGTGAGACGTAAAGAAAACCAACTTTGAACTGTTGAGACAATGCGAAAGTCGTTCTCTCGTACCATCATTGGTGATTGCTTTGTGATATTCGTTTCTAAAACATAAAGGCAAAACCTGTGCGTTATGATATTCATAAAAATCCGAAAAGTCCAAGAGGTGCTTCTGATGACAGAGAAAAGAAACAATAAAATAAATTATCAAGTCAATAAATGATTACAGATCGACATAACAACGATGACTTCAGACTTTTCAAGTCAATAAAATTAATTTTCCTTGACACTTTCCGAGTTCCTGCCTTCATATTGCCTTTCCCAACAAGGAACTTGAGAGAGCTTTCTTCCTGACTAGATTATATTGCTTGAAATATCATCGGAAGAAATACGGAAAAGCTCTAGCTAGCTTTCTTGAAATATCATCCATGAACGTTGTTGTTACGACAAGAAAGTGATCGAATTTTGAGTAAGGTAAGCTTCAGCTTTTGTTCCTGTTATCTGGATATATATATATATATCTTTCTGTTATGCATGTTTAGATGGGTGCTTTGTAGAATTCTCAGCTCTTTGTCGCATTTGGTCTGGTATTCACAAAACTCTGCCATGAAATTGCTGTAGCTGTTTCTTTTTCTTTCATTGATACCCTTTTCATGCCATTTCTAATTAATCCCCAAATCAAATTCGTGATGACACAGAGATTGATGCATTAATAATGGTAGATTTTTTGAATTCTGATTTGGTAAAAAGAGGGAGTCCAAATTCTATACGGTTCATAATTACAGAACTGGATGATATTGCGACAATCATGCTATACCACATCAGCCTGTATGTGGGATCCTTGTTTATAGAGCTGTTGTGATGGATCGTGGTGGACCTAGTCTTACGAGAACCGTATAGAAATTTCTACTGAAACACTGTCACATAGTGCCACTCAGGCGTTTTAAGTTTAATGTTTAATTTTGTGTTTGGCTTGAAACTGTTAGAGTTGAAACAATCATAAAAGATTTACTTGAAACGTAAACCAGAGGATTTTCAAGAAACATCAATTAAAGTGGGGTTGAGTGTTGACTGATTATTATGGCATGAATGGAAAAACACAAACTTCGAACTAAGCAGAGATTCAAGTACAAACAGTGGTGATTTTATTCCAAACATAAACGGCATTTCAACTCAAAATTGTCTAGAAACACCAATGCTACCAAACACAACCTAATTAGTAAAACCTAGCTAGATTTTGATGAAGTGGGCTATAGAGGCAAAGACACCCTGTTAATTTTTCTCACTCAAAATGTATTTACACATGGCATCTTTTGTCCTAGTGCAATGAGTCAGTAGAGATCACTAATTGCAGATTTAGTTGAGTTTCTTGTTAAGGAAAGAGGGGGAAGATGAAGATTTCAGTAATAGAGAAGAAAGGAAAAGAAGAAGAGAATAGGAAGTCAATCAGGATTGTGAAAATTAACCTTAGCCGCCCCCCCCCCTCTCATTACAAGGATGCCCTTAGTAGGGCGGCTACTAAAAGCTGAACAGTCACAACTTAAAAAAACATAAACTAATGGGCCTAAAGCCCAACAACTTCCTAACTAAATAAAAACAAACCGGACCAACTCAACACTCCCCCTCAAGTTGGGAGTAAATGTCACACATTCCCAACTTGCGTAGATCATGCTCCAGYTTGTTCTTTGCAACGCCTTTTGTGAGAACATCAACGAGCTACAGATTAGAAGCAATGTATGGAAGACAAACTTCTCCAAAAGTTACCCTTTCTCTGATAAAATGTCTATCCACTTCAATGTGCTTAGTTCGGTCATGCTGGACTAGGTTATGGACAATGTTAATTGCTGCCTGGTTATCACAGTATAGCATCATAGGTTCTTCTGCCTGTACACAATTTTTTTCTAACAGGGAACGGATTCAGAGAAGTTCTGAAACTCCATGTGCCATGGCCCTGTATTCGGCTTCAACACTTGATCTTGCCACTACTATTTGTTTCTTACTCTTTCATGAGACAAGGTTACCCCCAACTAGGGTGCACACTCCTGAACTTGACCTCCTGTCATCAAGGCATTTTGCCCAATCTGCATCTGTATAAGTCTCTAGTTTCAACTGTTCATGATCAATAAACAATATGCCTCTGCCCGGGTGTCCCTTTAGATAAGCAAGAATCCTATCAACTGCCTCCCAATGCTGGATTCGTTGAGCAAGCATGTATTGACTTACTACACTTACTGCATAGGAGATGTCTGGTCTTGTCATACACAAGTATAGCAGCCGACCCACAAGTTTCTGATATCTCCCAATGTCCTTTACTGGTTCACCTTCTGATGCATTGATTTTATGATTCTGATCAATAGGGGTGCTAATTGCCTTTGTTCCAAGCTTCCCTGTCTCTTGAAGAAGATCCAAGACATACTTCCTTTGTGAGATAAAAATTCCATGTTTTGATCTTGCAACTTC